GTATGTAATAATGTACCTGAGTGATTTTCAGACATCTCACATACACATTTGCCTAAATATTAGGAGAAACATTATTTCCTGACATCCAGGATATTGTTAAAACAGGTATACAGCAACTCTGGGCCTCGGTACTAATAACAATACAGTATTCACATGTAATAATGTACTTGAGTGATTTTCAGACATTTCACATACCTCTTTGATTTAATATTAGGGGAAACATTATTTCCCGATAGACAGGGGAAACATAGGGAAACCGAATTGCCCGGAACACCGGTCCCTACACACTCCGCCTTCATTTGCGCATTCCCGAGACCCGTCGCCATGTTGAAGTGTGTCTCAAAGCAGCAAGGGCTAAGGGGGACTGGTCGATTATCCCCTCCTTAAGAGAGTCAGCAACGATGGTGGCTCGCGCGATTCCACTACCACTTCCATATCCCACAATTCCTAGCGCACAGGAAACACAACAGCGCGAAAAAGACATAACTGGATTCTAATAGCACTGTGAAATACACATAGAAAGTCTGTTATATGTTATAATTTATCGCTGCAGAAAAATAAATTACATAAGCAGCTATTTGTAACTGGTCAGTACAGATAGATTTTATCGTGATCCGATTAAGAGAGATTGCGTGTACTTTTCAAACTATAGAAACCACGCGAAGAAACATTCGTACGCAAACTCAATAAACATCTCACCAGCAATAACAATTTGTTTCATATTCGCCTGTTTTTTCCTCTACAGATCTGATCTGGCATTTGGCACAGAGGTGATGCGTAATGTTTTATGCGTGTAAACTAAGTTAGCTATGGTCAATGACACGTGTACATACTTAAAATTGCTCAGTCAGTGCAATAAGACGATGTAGCCGTCTTCTCGCATTAGATAAACTTTGTGCTTTTTTAAATAACTGATACGTCATTACAGAAAATACAATTCAGCTTCTTGATGAACCCATTTTGTCAAATCACTACGTAATGCATTTCCTCTTTCCATTAAAGAAGACTGTAAAAAGGCGCTGCGAGGGCAAGTCTGCCTCAAAACTTTCTTGTGACAATTTCCTTCTGTTTAAGTGCATAGGGTGTGTTGTGAGGGTGACTCAGCGGGAGTGTCAAGGGTATTCGCATTGGGCCTCGGAATCCTAGTTTTGAAGCCGGAAGTGACGACATGCGCGCTCCCGTTTCTCGGAGATCCGGAGATTCCGGACAGCACAGAAGAAGAGAAGAACCCGACCCGAGTTCAGATTCAGAATCGAAGATGGCTGCTTACTCACGTCGGTAAAGTTCGTTTGCGGTTCGTTTTTCACGTTGCAAACGGCCATAAACACCTTATATATGCACGAAAGAATACGAATTATCCACTTTCTCCATCACTATTTGCTATATTTATTGAACCATTGGCAGCAGCAATTCGGAATGATAATAATATCAAAGGTATTCAATCAGCAAGTATAACCCATAAAATTAGTCTTTATGCAGATGATGTATTACTTTTTCTTCAAAATACACAGGGTTCCCTCACGGAGACGATAAGACTCATAGATAAGTTCTCCTCCATATCAGATTACTCTATTAATTGGAACAAGTCGACTNAGTCCGCTGCTTAAAAAGATAGAAGATGACCTTGCACGGTGGAACAATCTACCCACATCACTTCTGGGAAGAGTAGCTACAATCAAAATGATGATCCTACCAAAAATTAACTACATGTTCTCAATGGTTCCGAGTCAACCTCCGCGGACTTGGTTTAAATCATTGGACTCCTTAATTTCAAAATATCTATGGAAATCCAAACCACCGCGAATAAGTTTAGAAACTTTACAGAAATCCAAAAACTGTGGGGGTTTGGAGCTTCCCAATTTCTACAACTACTTTCTTGCCAATAGATTGATCTATAGATGTCCTAAAATGGACTATGCAAAATAACTTAGACCATAACTGGCTGGATATTGAGCAAACTTTCTGTAATGATATTCGAGTCGAGGACCTGCCATTTATCAGTCATATACTTAAACGACATTGCTGTTTTAAGAGCATCAACATCAGCACATCGCTGACAGCCTGGTGGGAATTTCTTAGAATGAACCAAACTTCAGTGGTCCCATGCAAACTGACACCCATCTGGAACAACCCTGACATCTTGTTAAATAAAAAAGTGATAAACTTCCTAGCTTTACATAATAAAGGAATCAAGCACATCGAACACATAATCCAAGACAATTGCATGATATCATTTGACAAAATTACAGAAACTTATAACATTGAGAAAAACAAATACTTAGAATATCTTCAACTTAAATCAATAGATGGTGCCGTAAGCAATTAG